GCAACAGGCATAACTTCTACATCTGTGACATTTGCTTGGAAGATGATCAAATGACAAGGATTTATTTAGGTATGTTACCTGTATCTTATAAAACAAATAATGAATGTTCTGTATTCCCCTCGTTGAATGGAACAGTCGATCTTTCAATTCATGAAAATTTTCTCATAAACATTCATTATTTGTATACTACTAATTAACTAGAGGCCATCATTCGGACAGAAAATTTGTCGGACCTGGACATTTCAAAGTTTTCTTCCAAAAATCTTTTTGTTTTCTTCCCAAAATCTTTTTCTGGAACTTATTGCCACAAACTGCTGCATCTGCAGAAACTGAGATGAGTTTCAAGAATGCATTAGCTTCACTATTTTTTCTGATATTTTTAAATTTACCAACATATACTATGTTATTGTAAATTGTTTTAAGTATGGTGATCTCATATTGTAGAGGCCTGTACTCAGCAGAAGATTAATGCAATGCTGAAACGTCTTAGTGCATTCTAATAACACGCAGATCGTGCTAAAGACACCATGTGTATGCAAAAAAAATTCCAAAGTCCGAGATAAGTGGCTCATTAGTCTTCAGCGTTCACCCTACTCTTTATCACGTTATTAATTTATTACGTGTATGAAAAATAATTACTTAGCGAGTCATGCGAAGTGACATGATTAATAAAAGGAGACATATTATATTAAAAATTAATATGGAAATTTATAAAATGCATTTTTTACCTAAAATGATGATGAACATTTCATTTACTTTGAAAGTAAGAAAAAAAATAAAGCAGAAATGAAAAAATACAGTGTGATATAGCCAGAGGGGAAAGATTTCTGAAGCTAAGGTAATGTCTAGTAGTCATCATCGTAAGGGGTGCCTAAGATTACACATACACTTAAGAGAAGGGTATTTCATGGGGACGGAAATTGGATGAAAATGGGCCACACCTAGCCAGGCTAGTGGTGCATCAGAGGTGAAATCCCCCCTCCCTGTTAGAAACCCTGAGCCAGGCTGGTAAAGAGCATTATCAAAGCTAGAAAGTGTGATCTTAGAACCAAAAACAAGACAGTACTAATTTTAAGTGTAAATTTTCATGATGCGAAGAAAAAGCCTGTAGTAAGTCGCTTGTTAGATGTCAGCGTTTAGCCTACTCGATATTACGTTAATTTATGACATGTACGGAACTGAATTACTGACCAACAAATTATGCGAAATGACAAAATTAATAAAAGAAGACATATTACTTATTTAATAATAATATTTGTTTGAAATTATAAGAAAGCCAGAAGAAAATAGTAGCAATAAGAATAATCATTATAGATTAAAAAAATAACTAGTAAAGCTTATATAATTATTAAACTTGTTTTAGAAAATATCGATGCCATATGTTATCAGTTCGTTCGCTTAAGCCTCTTGCTCAAGGGTGCGAACATTAACAGACAACCTTAGTATTTGCGGTAAAATAATCAACTGCTGAACTGAATACTACGAATAAATCATCAACTATTGATTTTTACTCGTGATTATGAAATAAAAATGATAGGTCTTTCTGAAAGTCTGTTTTATTAGGACTGTTAAATCCACGCTGCTATTAATGGAAAAGAATATTATAGCAGTTAATATCGACTGCACAAACATCATACGCAGAAATCTCAATAAGAGAACATGATATTAATAGGGAAACTTTGACATGAAGATGAGCAAAGAAGATAACTTTATATATCCATATTCATGTTTAGCTATCATGATAAAATCCAGAAAACATTCATTCAATTAAAACTTTACTAATAAAAGGATTAAATAACTTATTAGCAATGAGATACACATCAACACAGTTTATTATTTCCAAGAATTAAAGGCTTTTCACTGTAAAAATTCTTAAATTATCTGACAGCCTATTTAATAGTTTGTTCAAAGAATAAGATTAAATAGTTACAATTTGTAATCATGTGTTTCACACAATAATGTTAAAACTAAAAAATAATTTTTATTTTCAAAAAATAATAAAATATATTGTTATTAACTAGAAAATAAGTAACTACTGATTGTAATGGAAACAGTAGTGTGTATGTAGGTTTTACTAAATTTAATAACACATTCATTAGTTTTTGCATAATCCTGCTAAAAAAAACAAACGGTGAATGCTGTCTTTGGCTGAGGTAATTAAAAAGGTCACTAGCCAACTTCACAAACCCACAAACATACAGACAAACACCAATGGGTGCATAACCCCTGTGGTGGAGGCAATTACAAAAGACATAATTAGAGGGAGATAATGATAATTAATGAGATGCCGTCCTTTTTTTTCTGTAAAACATCTAGTTAGTAGTAATAGTAATTGATGATGTTGATGTAATTCCTCCGTCTGTTTTCCGATTATGGAATTACCCACAGAGGAAATTCTGGTATATGTAGCCGGTTCATGTAGGTTTTAAAAACCAACTGATAATAACATGTGGCTTAAATTTGCCATTTGCGGCAATGATTGTTTAGTACAGTACGTACAATAATTGATGGCATCTCACTGCAGGGCTAATAGATAATTTACATTATTTGAAGCTGCAAGTAAGACAATGTTACGCCTAACTAGAACCATTTCAATTCACTTAAGGCAATTTATTAATGGTTTTATTTGATAAGATAAAGGCTTGCCGACTTTGTCTTCTATTTTATCTTCCTAATTTATACAAAATCGTAATAAGGGTTTTTGTGATAAATATCTATTGAAATATATGGGACTAATTGAAATAAATGTCTCAACTCTGAGGTCTTCAGAGAATGCACAAGGCATGGGCACAGATGATGAGTAAGAAACATGTACCTCAATTAGTATCATAAATCAAAAAGAAAATTGTTAAAATGAATGGTATAAATGGCCCAAATTTTAAGGAAAGAACACAGTACCCCAGCATATATAATGATAATAATTCTGGATTTATATAGCACCTCACATTGACACAACCTTGAGACACTTAACAACAATAGAGAAGAAAAAACCAATGCAAATGTACCAAAAAAATTATTATCCATATATTATTATATATCTTATCCTATAGCAAGGTACTGGTATCTCTGCCCACGAACATCTGAATTACATAAATACAAATTACTCCAGCACAGTTCCAGAAAATAGGCTCCCAGCGGGAGCGTGTGTCTACT